CATTTTTACCTTAGTATACATTCAACTAATCAACTGTTCTCACTGTGAGGTTTTTTAATGACATTCACAAACTACCCTTTGTTTAATTGTTTGTTTGTTTGAGGTAAAGCACAAAGCTACACAATGGGCTATCTGTGCTCTGCCCACCATGGGTATCGAAACTTGGTTTCTAGCTTGTAAGTCCTGCAGACATATCGCTGTGCCACTGGGGGGGCCCTTTGCTTAATACAACAAAGAAGTTCTCAGGTGCAACAATTTAGGGCTACGACATTTTTTTTAATCCTTAACTGTTGTAAGTAAAAATGTATCATATATGCAACATGTATGAAATCAGTAACTAGCTGAAAAATTGTTCTGTTTCTCCCTACTAACTTTCACTAGAGTACTCTATAAAACTAAATAGTAATTATTTGTGGAAAATAATTATCCTCATATTTCCTGTGATAAAACTAGAATAGATTCTTGTCACGGAGTGAGAGGAATAATATATAATTCAGTGAAAACAAATGAACTTTGATCCTAGAAAAACAATGACAGTACAATCAATGTTTACTATTTAGCAAGAAAACTTGTGATGATACCAGATAACCTCTTTGCAGAGACGTAAATGATTCATAACATGGAAATAAGTATTGTAAGAAATATTAAAAGTAAAAAATTTTACAGGTGATTTGGATTTTTTTTAGTTCCGTAATCACTGTATGAAAAACTTCAAAAATAATTAAGAACTTTATACTTATAAAAATATTATAAGCGTTTAGGCAAGAAATTGTCAATAATGTAGAACAAATTCATTAAAATTATTAATATGTTTACATTTTTACAGTACAGGCTGGAAAAAACTGTATGCCAAGAAATCAACCAACTTAAAGCTTACTATACTAGGCAGTGTTTAGATAGCAAGTAAAAAGACTTGTCACAGTTTTAAATATACAAGTACTACAATTTTTTTCCCAGATAGGTACTGTTCATACATTTTTCTATGGCTGATCTTCCATTCCTGGATGTGTTATGGAAGCAACCAGAGTACATGTAAATTTTGTGAATTTTCTGCATGGCGACCCTTCTTTCTTATGTTGTGTGTTGTTGCCTGGAACATAGGAACAGTTTTTGCCATTGACCTTTGTGTTTGTGAATTCCTACCTATTACAAACTGCCACACTTTGCTTACAATGGCTGAAATATATTTTTCATTATGTACCCATCACACTACTTATGAAACACCAAATGTTAAACTGTAGTTCTGATGCATGCCATTCCACTCAAACTCTACATCAGCTGTGGTTGTCATGACTTGCCATTTGCATATTCAGTCAATTTAACATAATGTACTCACCCTCTGTATAACTAACATATCAGTTAAATACATATAGCTATATCAGCCATTCCAGTCTTATTTATAAAGTTTCAGATGAAGATCCAAACAATCATATAATTATTAAATCACAGGCCTTTGATACCATTTAATAGTATTTAAGAACAACTGTTAATACAACTTAAATTTACCCATTTAACTTAAAACTTCTATACTGTGTCACAAATCCTGATCTAAATGTAAGATCCAAAACACAAAAGAAAATAAATTCAAGAGTAAAGAAGAGTGAAAGAAAAATTTCTGTTATTATCGAGGTTTCAAATACTCAGGACTCTTCATAGTGTAAACTAATTAAATAACTTAACTAGGCCAAATTACCTCATCCTGTTTATTGGGGTCAAACTCAACCTGTTTGATCCTTTCAATTTCAGAAAGTTCCTCCAAGATGTCCATCTCCACTCCACGTTCAGCTTTTCGGCATTGGTTTGCTGAGTCAGGAAAAAGGAAGACTGTGTCTGTTTGCTTGGTGCTTCCAGTTGATACGCTAGTTGTCTCCATTTCAATATCCAAAGGACTAACACTAGTAGCAACAGTGTTGCGGGCAGAGCTACTTGAACCATAGCCACTCTCTGGGCTACTTTCTGGACATTTCACAGTTCGTCTTATTCCCACTGAAGGAATACAGTTAGTTGTTTTATCCAAGGTCATTCCACTAGTATTAGAACCATAGCCGCTCTCAAAACTTCCATCAATCCTGCGACATAGGGTTGTTCCACTAATTCCCACAGCATCTTTAGTGGCTAGAAACCTCACATATTGACCAGAATCGGGTGATGCTACACAGAGAGCTTTGGCTATAATACGAGTTGCTGTTATTTCAGCAAATGTTGTTATGTCCATCACCTTCCTTTTGGTAGCTGGAGTAATTAATCAATTTTGAATGAGAAAAACATTTTGTAAAGTTACACAGTAAAAACAATTGTTTCTTTTGGTACTTTAATGTCAAAGTTACACTTTCAAATAATTCTCTCTCTCCTAAAATGAACTGTTCATTACAATATTTTAGTAGACATTTCTTAACTGGTCAGAACTGTTTATTACTTACTTTCAAATATATTCATTAACTATTATCTGGACTACTGTGTTTATTAAAAGATCTCAGAAGACATTTTTACTGTCTTTAGGATTTCTGATTTCACACAACAAATTTACCTTTTTCATCTAGAATGAAACCTTCACAGATTGCTCTGGCTGTCTGAGTCCCTGTGCATGGATGACGAGCTGGACTTGTTTCTACACCTACTGTTATCTTTGGATGTTTTTGTTGTATACCTGAATATCCCTCTTTTTTACGCTGTCTTTTAGCACACAAGGATTCTTTCTCAGACTTCTTGAGTTTCTCCTTTAGATAAGCAACCTCGTGCTTTAATGTGGACAACAGATGTAAGATATGACAACTGGTGTATGATATTATATAAACACAAACAATATTAAAATAGATTTATGAATAAATGATTTGTACATTATAGAAGGTCACAAAACAAAGAAAATAACATTAGAATTGAAGTTTCTTTTTACACATGTTTGGGGTTTACAGTATGATGAAGAAAGGGCACTAACATTAAGTATTAATTATAAAGTATTCATTATAATTTACTTTTACAGACAGGCAGGCAGGTAGACAGACAGACAGATAGGTAATTAAAAGATCTCAGAAGACGCCTTAAGATATTTTCTGGGCTGCCCTGTTTATTAAAACATCTCAACAGAGAGAGAGAGGGGCAGATGGTTAAATAGATAAAATGAAGTGACCAAATTAATTACATTTATAACACATTTTATGTTTATAAAAAGCAAAACATAAAGTCGTAATTAATTCACAAAATATAAAACTTCAGAGTAGAGACAAATGTATATATATATATTACTAAGAAGTGAGAGTATTCAAACACCAAATCAATTTTATAATCCAGAGTGAAGAAAACAAATACAACTGTAAGTCTCCCAAATATTTCATTACGACCACGGTTTCACCAGTAAATACATCATCAAGTACAGAATGAACTAGCTTGTGAACAGGTACATACATGTTTAACCAATTAATTGGTAGTAACCTTTACACCGACACAAGTGGGGAGGAGCCGAAGTTGATCTGATCTTTTAGAGCTTTGTCTGAAGTCGTTTTTATATTTATTTCTAAAATTTCCAGGTTATTTAATTTTCTACCCTTCTCAAAGATGTTTAAAATTTGACAGTTTTTTTTCCTGGGTGAAACTGCCGTTTAGTTTTCAAGCTTCTTACACTGGATTGGGAAAGATTTATTTATAGTACGAATCATGGATGTGACAGGTAACAAACATTGTTAATATAAGTGGTCTTATCATTTTATTTCCATACTATGTATTTTAATTAATGACAAGTTCATATGTGTTACAAGGTGATGGAAAAATACATACTGTGATTTATCAAATTCTGAACAGATAGTTTTATCCTTTTCAATTTAAATTGACAGAAAAAAAACAGTAAAAAATAATAAAATATTTGCTTAACTAACATGGATATAAGTATTTCATTAGTTTCAGTTATGAAATCAATCTAATTTCAGTCCAAAATGTTTTGAATTCATTTATTGTTTATACTTACTTCTACATCTTCTACTTTCAATATCAATATATCCACTTTATGTACTTACTTCTAAAAGTGGATATATTGATATTGAAGGTAGAAGATCTAGAAGTAAGTACACAAAGTGAATATATTGATATTGAAGGTAGAAGATGTAGAAGTAAGTACACAAAGTGGATATATTGATATTGAAGGTTGAAGATGTAGAAGTAAGTACACAAAGTGGATATATTGATATCGAAGTTAGAAGATGTAGAAGTAAGTACACAAAGTGGATATATTGATATTGAAGGTAGAAGATGTAGAAGTAAGTACACAAAGTGGATATATTGATATCGAAGTTAGAAGATGGTGTACTTACTTCTACATCTTCAACCTTCAATATCAATATATCCACTTTGTGTACTTACTTCCACATCTTCTAACTTCAATATCAATATACCCACTTTATGTACTTACTTCTACATCTTCTACCTTCAATATCAATATACCCACTTTGTGTACTTACTTCCACATCTTCTAACTTCAATATCAATATATCCACTTTGTGTACTTACTTCTACATCTTCTAACTTCAATATCAATATATCCACTTTGTGTACTTACTTCTAGATCTTCTACCTTCAATATCAATATATCCACTTTGTGTACTTACTTCTAGATCTTCTACCTTCAATATCAATATATCCACTTTTTGTTCAGCTTGGGCTTTTTCTCTCTCACATATAGACAGAAAATGGCCCATTTCCACCCTGGTTTTGTCTATTACACCTAAATATTCAAGAAGCTATTCAATTAGCTATTAAGGAGTTACTCTTATTAAAAAATATTGCTTTTCAGTACATATTAATATCAAAACTGTAGTTTATATCAAGTCCACATGCACAGCACTCACAAAACTAACAAAACATTTATGGAAACTAACAAAACATCAATAAAGCAACAGCAAACTATACCACAGAGCTCTCTCAAAATACTACTTAGATGTACCACTTTAAAAATAATAATATAATCCTAGTGATTTTCACATCTCTACCCACAAAGAGCTTTAGGGTTTTATCCTTTTACATCATTTACCAAATCAGTGTGTTCTACTAACTTACTCTGTAGTTGATACACTCAGATTCTTATATATATTTTATCTGAAAAATCAACTAACTTACTTTGCAAGACTCTTTTGATCCTCCAAAGTCTGAGCAGAATAATTAATACTGCAGCCTCTTTACCAGCTCCTTTCTTTGAGGGAGTTGTTAGAAATGCAATATCAAGTCCAAATGCCACAAGAACAACAGCAGCATCACATATCTAAAACATATCATTATAAACTGGAGAAGTTGTTAACGAGGAATATGTTTACATTAAACAAGGGAAATGGAAAACTATTAATAATACATATAAACACTACAATTGTGTTCCTTAAAACACGTTTTGTGGAATGCACAAAAAAATGTTTCTGAAAAACAATTACGTCTATTTTAACCACCAAATATTTTCTAGCAGATACAGTTCTAAAAAATAAATGAAAACTAAAAAAAAGCAAATTCAAAGTTACTGATCAAAACATCAAGCTTTTTTTTAACCCCTGATTAATAATGGCTAGTACAGTCAGCTGGGAGCAGAAAAAAACTTTTAAGTGGCTGTTTCACCTAAAAGGTTAATTTTTAAGCTAACTTGAAATCCAGAAAGTAAATACATTATTTAAATGAATACGGACAATTATCTACAATTTAATTTTTCAAAGTCTTCTAACACATTCTTCAAGTGGTATCAGTACAACAATACAGGCATAAATGTTCGTTTGTTTTGTAAATTAAGAACAATTAAGAAGTTATTACAAATCTAATGTACTTATATCTCTGAAAATGGAACTAAGAGAAATGATTCTGAACAAAGACTTTTTAAAGAGTGGAACTGTTGAATGGAGTGCTTTAAAGCTGGGAACTGGATCAAAACAATGACTTTTTATACAGTGGAACTGTTGAATTGAGTGCTTTAAATCTGGGAACTGGATCAAAACAATGACTTTTTATAGAGTGGAACTGTTGAATGGAGTGCTTTAAATCTGGGAACTGGATCAAAACAATGCATTTTTATACAATGGAAGTTTGTTGACTCGAGTGCTTTATAGGTAGGAACTGAATGAAAACAATTATTTCTGATACAGTGGAAACTCTTGAAATGAGTGCTTTAAAGCTAGGAACCGAGTCAAAATAATGACTTTTTATACAGTTGAAACTGCTGATTTGAATGCTTTAAAGCTAGGAACTGAGTCAAATGCCTTTATAAGAACTTGTACTTCAAAGCTAGGAACTGAGTCAAATGCCTTTATAAGAACTTGTACTTCAAAGCTGGAAACTGAGTTTAAACAATGTCTTTATAAGTAGAACTTGTACTTCAAAGCTAGGAACTGAGTTTAAACAATGTCTTTACAAATAGAATTTGTACTTCAAAGCTAGGAACCGAGTTTAAACAATGCCTTTATAAATAGAACTTGTACTTCAAAGTTAAGAACTGAGCCTAAACAATGCCTTTATAAATAGAACTTGTACTTCAAAGCTAGGAACTGAGTCTAAACGATGCAATATAAAGTGGAACTTGTTTTTTTTTTAATTATTTAAAACTTGAAATTGACCTTTAGGAATGGGGTCAAGGTCACCATCATTGTTGATTTAGTTTGCAAACTCTACACAAAGCTACAACATACTTGAAAGTTTATTGTCTCTGATGAACAGCTATCACTAAGAAAATGGGTTTAAAAGTACTCATTAGGTACACTTTTCTCCAACTTTTGCTTTCACAAAGATACACAAGAATATTGTTCCTTATAAAAAATAGAGCATATATCATTGTTGTTATCACCTGCACTATGATACAGTTAAAAGGTATATTCATCCTTCATATTTCAACAACCTCAATAGGTGCTTTCTTTCATGGCACAAAAGTCTATATTCTTCTCTTTTCATTTTTATAACGATGGAACTAATTTTGACGGTAGGACAGATGCCTCTAAAAAGTAGAAAAACTAATCTCTCAGATAACGTATTACGTATATTAAACCTGAGCGAACACTCCCAGCATCCGGCTGAAAATAATCGTAGGACGGTGACAGTGTCTAATAACACTTATGTCTCTAAAACTAATCCAAACCACAAAATTAAGAAATTTGAAATTTTATAAGTTATAGAAATAATTATTAGGAAATCGTGAAAATAATTCAGGCAGAACTAACAAAAAATTATGGATTTAAAGAGTTAAAACTTAAGCCCATTTCTTGAATTGGCTACTCATGGTAAACAGAGAAGTTAAAGATTACTAGATCTTATAAAATTGCAAAGTAAAAGCAATAACTGCTTTAAGTTTCAGATTTTAGACATATTTCTTTTGATAAAATAAAAGTCAAACTTCAAGTTGACTAATTAGGAAAGTAACTCTAGACACTTCCTATATTCTACACACATTAGAGACATAAAAATCCCCCAGACATTGCAAGAAATACTAAAAAATGACTAAAATGCTGGCAAGTACAAGTAATTTAAGGAAACTAACACTTGCCACCACAAACCTACTGCAAGTCTCTTAGTTGAGGTTTGGTCTGGTTTGTTTTTAAGGAAACTAACACTTGCCACCACAAACCTACTGCAACAAAAACAAACCAGACCAAACCTCAACTAAGAGACTTCAAAATTTAAAAAATGCACTCTTCATTCTGGGGCTGTGAGGAATGGTCAAATCCCACTATTTGATTAGAGTAGCCAAAGAGCTGGTGGTGGGTGCTGTTGACTAACTGTCTTCCCTCTCGTATATCTGTAAAAATTAGGGATAGCTAGCACAGATAACACTTGAGTAACTTTGATTGAATGTCTGAAAATATCTACAGCCTGATCTGGGGCTGGGCATGGCCCAATGGTTAGTATGTCAGACTGTGTGGATCCAAGGGTCCATGGTTTGAATCTTGTTGCATGTTTTTTAATTAAATTTGCTAGCAAGTTATAAAATGCTTTAAATTTTCTAGTTTGTGTTTATAAAATTTTAAAAACTACTGAAACTAAGCTGAAAACTCAGACACAAAGATGTTCTTTCAACCAACAGCAAGATTAACTGGTTAGGAAAGCAGAAAATTCCACTGACATAACAGTAACTCAGTAAAAAAAACTGAAACTTTTACCTGATTCAACTAGCATAACAGTAACTCAGTAAAAACAAACTGAAACTTTTACCTGATTCAACTAGCATAACAGTAACTCAGTAAAAACAAACTGAGACTTTTACCTAATTCCACTGACATAACAGTAACTCAGTAAAAAAAAAACTGAGACTTTTACCTAATTCCACTGATATAAAAATAACTCAGTAAAAAAAAACTGAGACTTTTACCTAATTCCACTGACATAACAGTAACTCAGTAAAAAAAAAACTGAGACTTTTACCTAATTCCACTGACATAAAAATAACTCAGTAAAAAAAAACTGAGACTTTTACCTCTATTCCTTGAATAAGGTATTTTGCTCTTCCTACAGCTAATCTACAACCAATCTGTAAAAAACAAATTAATAATTCTATATGTTTACAGAACACAGGTAAGTAATTAGATTGCTCAAGAGAATATTTAAAAGAAAAGAAAAAAAGTAAGAATATAAATACCAATAAATAAATAAAAGTAATGTATTTTTACAACCATGTAAGTCAACAACATACAAGTATCAAACATATTATAATAACATCAATATGAAATATGGGTTATAACATTAGAGAAAAGCATTACATTCATTTTTGATATAATACCAATGGTACTTAGTTTATGTTACAAAAATGTTTTTATCTTAATTTATCTGAAAATTCCCAAATATAGAAAAGAACTATAAGGATTAAGTACAGATCACACAAAACCTAGGTTTAAATTGATAAAACACTTCAGAATTGCTCAAGCTTTCCACCATGCCCATCACTAATTGTATCTTTAGAAACCAGTCAACACTCAGTTATACAGGTAATCAAAAATGAAACTCTCGCATATTCGAAGGTTGCCTTTCACATTTAAATATTAGGTGAATTATATTAAAAACTCAATTTCACCAAATGATCTGATACTGTACCTAAAAGACAAAAAAACCAATGAAACAAGTAACTAAGTCAAGCACAGATGTAATTACACCATGACCTAAACAAGTAACTAAGTCAAATATAGATGTAATTACACCATGACCTAAACAAGTAACTAAGTCAAACATAGATGTAATTACACCATGACCTAAACAAGTAACTAAGTCAAACATAAATGTAATTACACCATGACCTAAACAAGTAACTAAGTCAAACATAGATGTAATTACACCATGATCTAAACAAGTAACTAAACCTTAAATTTAAAAGACAAATAAAAATGATATAGTCATACCTCAAAGACAAAGATAATTAGTATAACTATACTAATATAAGATAGAACATCCTTTGTGTTTCTCAGATTAGGGCTAACAGCTTCTGATGAAGGGAAGATTAGAGCAGGCACGTTGGCAGAACAGTTTCTAATTGTTTTCCAATGTGGATCTACACAACCAAAGAAATTAAAACATCACAATGAAGTACCATTTCAGATGTAATAACAATAATCCTGTAAAATAAATGTAATGTTGGAGCATGTTGTGTTTCAGTAGTTTAATATATATTATTAACAAACAAGATGGAAGTAAAAATGTTGGAATATGTTGTGTTTCAGTGGTCTAATATACATTATTAACAAACAATAAAGAAATATTGTTACTGAAACACAACATATTCCATTTCTTTATTGTTTGTTAATAATGTATGTTAGACCAATGTTGGAATATGTTGTGTTTCAGTGGTCTAACATACATTATTAACAAACAAGAAAGAAATATTGTTGGAATATGTTGTGTTTCAGTGGTCTAACATACATTATTAACAAACAAGAAAGAAATATTGTTGGAATATGTTGTGTTTCAGTGGTCTAACATACATTATTAACAAACAAGAAAGAAATATTGTTGGAATATGTTGTGTTTCAGTGGTCTAATATACATTATTAACAAAGAAGGAAGTATTGTTGGAATAAGTTGTGTTTCAGTGGTCTAATATACATTATTAACAAAGAAGGAAGTATTGTTGGAATATGTTATGTTTCAGTGGTCTAATATACATTATTAACAAAGAAGGAAGTATTGTTGGAATAAGTTATGTTTCAGTGG